TTATTATGGAAGAAGGGGGAAATCGTCGTCGTGATGTCACACATACTAACGCAAACATAGATGCATGTCCGTACACCCATTGAGGTACGCAGACACACAAACATACGCGCTCATCCGCTGGGGCTCATACAAACATAAACATATGTGAACAGTATGGGAATTGATATATGTATGTATATATGTGCTGTTCTCTACATACATAGGCATTTGCTTGCTGAAATTCAAAGATTGGATGTGTAGCGAATATTTCTCGTGAATGTATACATGTCAAAAAATCAGACCATTTTTCTATTCTTTCGCTGAATAATATTTCCTCGCATGCATGTATATACGTGTGGTGGGGGTCTGTGTAAAATTATGATAGGTAAAAATTGCTATTATTTTTAAATTTTTAAGGTTGATTTGTTATTATTTTAAAGCTGGTTATTTGCTTGTTTTTGATGACTGCGTATATGTAACTGGTAGAAATTGCAGTTCTTAATCCTTATTGGTTTTTATTTGGTGGTATTAAATATGCTGGGGGAGTGGGAAGTAATTTACTTTAATAATTATAGTGGATTGCTATGGTAATAGTATTTGTGATGTGGTAGAAATGGTGATGGGGGATTGGTGGTAATGATACTGTTAGTAGCTAATACTTATTGTAAAGTGGTCGAAGCGATTAGTAATGGTGCTGGAATGATAATAACAATAAATGCAATTACTGTGATGGTAGCTTGAACTAAAGAGTAGTTGTTGGTTTTTTTGGGGGTGGGGGTATCTGTTTGGTATAAATTCTGATAATAGTTATTTATTCTCATGCCTACATTTGGAAATTATCTCTGATCTTTCGTCTAGTAAATTCTTTTGCGAGGTATGGGATATTATTGCTACTTTTTCGTGTAGGCAACGTAGGCATTTTTTGTAATGTTGCTGTAGGCAGGTGCTTTTTTTTTTCAATATTTTCCAGCTTATTCTTGGTGTGATATTTCTGTCTTCTAGATGTCATATGTATGTGGATAGTATAGTACTGTTCGAGTATTTTCTGTTGGTGAATGAATGGTTGTGGTTGTTTTTCCTCTTCTTGAATGGACCCTCAGTGGCACCGATGTAGTACATTGTGCTATTGTTTGCACTTACTTTGGCTTTATATAGTGTATTCGTATGTTGGCAATTTCCCTGGAGTAAACATGTTGTTCTATTTCTGCAGTTGGATTTTGGATCCTTGGTTTCATTTTTGTAGGTTGTCATTTTTTTGTTATGGCTTTTTATTATTACTGTCATATTTTTGTGCAGCTGTAACTGATTTTAACATTATTTTTGTTGAATATTTTTGCTAATCGGTTAGTTTCAGTGAAGTGTGTTTCTATTAATTTTAGAAATGTCTTACCTATGTTCGTTTTGACGGTTTTGTTGTATGGTGGATTAAACCAGATAATGTTTCTCTTTCTGTTTTTGCGTTTTGGCTGTGGAGGTGTAGATTGTAGTTGTTGTGTGTATCCACTTGCTTTTAGTGCTTCGTTGTATTGTGTTTTTTGTTACTGAAAATGTGTGTTAGATGAGTTCTCAGATAGTCTGCGGCTGATTGATACGAGTATTTGTTTGATGATTGAAGGTGGGTGGTTCCTGACGGCAAAGGACCACAAAACCACCTTTGTGGAAATACGCACATTTAGACTAATTAACCCAGCGAAGAGTGGGATAGAAAAAATCAGTAGAAACATACAGAATACTATCATTAGACAAGCCCAAGGGAAAAATGGGGACTCAAACAGTGGAAGAACACCAAAGCTGTAATAGAGTGGTTTAAAACGATAGAAAACAAAAACAAATCCACTTTCCTCCAATTCAATATAGTGGATTTCTATCCATTCATCACGGAAAACATATTACATGAAGCTATACAACTGGCACAGCAACATGTAAAAATTACGGACGGAGATATAAAAATAATCAAACATTACCGAAAATCTCTGCTGTTCAACAATAGTGAATGAACCATAGGCAAAGAAACAAAACCACCTGTTTGATGTAACAATGGGTCGGTACGATGGACCGTAAATCGAATTGGTAGGCATACTCATATTCTCATACCTGGCCAGAATCCTGGAGAGATAGTACACAGGATTATACAGAGATGACGGACTTATCTTGATAAGAGAACCCAGTGGTCCCAAATTAGACAAATTTAGAAAGGAAATAGTGAACGCCCTAAGAACATTGGATTCAAAATAGAGATAAACGCAGGCACAACAACAGTAAACTTCCTTGACGCCACACTTGAACAACAACACATACGAACCGTACAAAAAGATAATGACACCCCAAAATTACGTACACACATCCTCCAGCAGATCTACGTCAGGTTTTATTACTTGAGTACCGTAAACCGACGTTTACTGGTTTGTATATCCGTTGGGATTCTTTTTGTCCCAGGAAACGCAAAATTAATTTAATTAAGACCCTTACGCATAGGGATCTCTTGATCTGTTCGGACATCAATTTGAATGATGAACTCAGGTTTATTATTTTTACTTTCTGTAACAATGCCTACCCATTGGGCATTGTTCAAGCAATTATTTGCTAAGCAGGTTTCTACCGCAGTTCGACATTGTTGCTTTGCCTCTAATACTCGTGATGTTTTCTCTGCCAGGCCCGTTATTCCGTCTATACGTAAGGATGTTCTCCCAGTACACCATAATAGTACAATAATTTATTTCTTTAAATGTAGTTGCAGTTCGCACTACATAAGGAGAACGACGCAAAGGCTAGATGCTAGAATAAAACACGT